TACAGTTTTCGATAGAACTCGTCGAGAACTATAAGAAACGCTACTCAGAACTACTCGGTACTCGCAAAAAATTTTCCGACGTGGGACTTCGAAAAAATTTAAAGTTAAAATTTTTTGGGAGTATCGAGTAGTTCTGATTGGAGTTCTGGACAGTTCTCGGCGAGTTCTGTCGAAAAGTATTAGGGCTCAAAGCGATTGGACCAACGGTTTCCGAGATATACTCACTTTAAAAATTGTTGATATTCTGACAAATGTCGCTGTATCTTGCAAACCGTTGGTCCAATCGCTTTTCCACCTTACAGTTTTCGATAGAACTCGTCGAGTACTATATGAAACGCAACTCAGAACTACTCGGTACTCTCAAAAAAATTTTTAAAGATTTCTAATATTTTTTAAAAATTTTATTATTCTTCAAAAATGTTTTTTAGGTATCAAGAACTCTAGGTATTCACAATACACTTCTGTTAAGCTGATCAGAACTATGCGACCTTGAATTTCGTAAAAAAGTTAGCATCCCATTTTTAAAGAATTATTAAAAAATAATTATTAAGCGCATATGTCATTAAAAATCATAGAGAACTCTTCGTATCGTCAAAAAGAAGTGGGAACTCTAATCAGAACTCCTGAGTACTATAGTTGGGGTGCTAACTTAACATACCCCTGATAACTTTCTTATTTATGGTCGCTTTGCAAATCTCTAAGTTGAAAAATTAATAAATATCAAATTAATCTCTTGTATTGTATACAAACAGTACCTACTTCTCTTCAATAAATATAAATAAGAGTAAAGGCTATCTTCTCATTTAACGTCTTATTGTAATACGCTAATATTATAGTATAGTATACTAAGGATTTTTAGCCATTAATAAACGTGGGCGTGCACGAGTTGTCTCTGTAATTATTATTAAGCTTTCATTCATTCCACGGGGATATTATTCATTCACAGATACACTCGATCTTTGACACAAGGTCAGGACTTACCAGCCTTTTGGCATTGGGATCCGCCCCTTGATGCAACAGCTCGATCACGGCGTCGATGTGGCCACCAGCGGCGGCCAATATCAAAGGTGTCGTGCCGTCCTGAAAGAAAACCGACCTCGTTTGCAAAACTTCGTTCCGACGATATATAATTAGACGCGAAACTTTCCCGCCGGTGAACACTAAACTCCGGCGAATGTATGCCGGTGTATATTTTCTAATCAATCTTCTCGCGAGCTAGTAAGATTCGCGCTAAATGTCCTAATGATTAAAAGTCTACTAGTGCAATTAGCACACTTATATTAATCCGAGTTAGCCACATACTTAAGGGTCACTGTCCTAAGCGAAGAATTTACATGCATGCATTTTGACGAAACATTATCTTTTTATAATCAAAAAGTTTTATTTACAAACAATGATTAAGAAAAATTATTTTAACTATCCTTTATATTTAAAACTATATACACAAAAAAAAAATACATACGTAAATAATAATTACTTCGTTTCAAATATTTAAAAGTAATTTATATATCTACAATCCATCGTAAGTCACCACAAAGATCACATTTATTTAAAATTTATTCTGAATCCTAGAGTGAGTTTAATATTTTTTAATCAAGATTATTAAATTAAAATAAATTCGATTTGCTTATTATATAAAGTCGTTTCTTTGATCAATTTTATAATATTCTTCAAAACAAAATAAATTCGGTATTGAATACATAATAATGAATATTTCTAACATTTATAATAAATATTAGGATTGTTATCAAGAAAATATTCTTTGTTAAAGATAATCATAATTTAAAAGGAAGAAAATTAATTGAGTAATCGCTTTTCTCAGCAATAGAATAGGTATTTTTAATAGATAAATTTATTTATTGATATTTAGATAAGGACATATTAATTAATAAAATTACTGGTTTTCACAGACACACACACACACACAAGTGATAAAGTGTAAAAAAAGTACAGTAACAAAGGATTAATATATAGTCACATATTTCTAAAAGTAACGATTTGCGTATAAAATTGTTACCAGTAGATTCTTTCCATTTAGTGACACAAGTCGACATAAATATTACTCTAATTTTCTTAGCATTTAAAGTTATAATGATAGGATACAAATGTCGACTTGTGTCTAAAAAATATTGACTGGTATTTTTAGTAGGATAGAAAAGAATCGTGAATGGGGCAGGAAGTACTATTAATTTTAATTTTCTGTTGACTAAATAAACATATAGTGATTTCATTCGGCCCTGACACGGACATAATTTCATGCAGATGAGTTTGCAAAAAATACAGACGTCGATAAAACGTGTTCGGCTTCCCAAGTCGAAAAGTAGTACGATTAGTGTCCGAGCTGATCTAATAAACCACTTTCGAGACGCGCAGAGAAGAGTAACGTTACTCGTGCTGCTCGTTCTTCGTCGTTATTTGCATAATGAGTCGACAGCGAGGAGAGAAAATAGCCGGTAAATCGCGCGTTTGCCGGGATATCGCTTATCTATCGCGAGACTATTGTAATCAGGAACGTGAGTTCCTGTCTAATCGATTTCCGGCAGTAATCTCACGCGATCTTATTGTTTTGAGCTGATGAACCGACTGAACGAACCAATTTCAACTGATAAAATCAAAATCCAATTGAATATCGTATTTCAGGAAGGCACAGATTAATATTATCATTTTCGTGTAAAACAAAATATTTTCTTTTAATTATCTTTTCATTGTAAATTCTCATAAAAAGTTAATGTTCAGTTGTCACACAAAGCTCTCCCAACCGTTTGAAGATCGTGTTTGAGAAATGTCCACGATAACGAGATCTTACTTCGAAAACTGGGGGTATTGCACGGTACTGACCTTGTCTTTGCAATCAACGTGGACACGTCCGGAATCCAATAAAATACGAAGACGCTTGGCGTCCCCGCGTGCCGCCGCCAGATGCAACTCCACGTCCCAAGGCGACTCTTTCTGAAAAAAAACGAGAGCCAAAGGTAACAGGTTAATAAATCGCTAATTAATTTCACGTTTCTTGATTTACGCAAGGTCGCATCGGAGCGACGTAAACGTGAGAAAGTGTCAGAAACAAAAGTTTTTTTTTTTACGCCTCTCGAGAATTTATAGAAACTATATTAAAATCGTAACAATATAAAATTGCAAGATCGATGCAGAAGAATAGAGAAATACATTTTTCAAAATTTCTTCACTTTAAAAAATCTTTTCACAATGGAAATTTATTACAAAAGTTATTATACATATATTAATAAATGACAAAAAAATAGTAAACTTAATAATAGTTAACACAAAAAATTTGAGATTAATTTCTTAATACTCCAAGAATACCAATTATCAGAAACCAAGATTAATTTTTAAACTAGAAAAATTAAATTTAATCAGTTTTGAATAATTCCAATCTTTTTACAATCTTTTTAGATTTCTAGAGAATTTATTTGATTTCTTTTTTACTTTTCATGTTTTTATACAAATAAAGTCAATCAGTTTCGACATTAATAATATAATATAATACAGTTATTCAAATTATGAAACATTTATTGTATATCTGTATTTAAATTATTATAAAACAAATCATTGTCTTCAATTACTGCTTATCGGAAAATATTTTCATATATATTCAAGTTTTTTTTATATTTAAATAATGAAACATTTATATATCGAAGTCTGAATATATGAATCGTGTATTGGATATGTAATGGAATATGAATGTAACTGTGAATTTCCGGGTGAACTCGTCAGATTGTTGGGGCCGTTTAAAAGCCGTCAAATATTTTTAGCGCTTCCATAATCTCAGAAATATGCTCGAAGTTGTCATTGGGATCGATATTTCTCGGGACCGTAGATCCGGCCATTTTTATTCCTCTCGTTTACGGCTTCTAACGGTGAACCCATCGGCGCAAATGTTATCCAGCGTGAGTATTGTCGGTCTTTCGCCACGATGATGATCGAAATAATACGTCGACCTTCGCTTTCGAGTGTTTATGGAGTGATCCGACTTGCGGTGCAAACACGTTCTTGGAGAGAGAAAATATCCCGCGTGATTTCTCGGGGAATAAACGCCTGTGTCCTCGGCGCGTCGCGCCTGCGAATTTACGTCTGAACGGAACTCGCATTCCGAAATATTTCGAACGAGCAAGAAAAATAGGCTTGTAGGCCCGATATCTGTAACTTTGTATCCGTTAGCCTAGTAGTTTATTGATTCCGGACACTCGTCACGGATCGCAAACGTAAAATTGCAAAACACGTCGAGCAGTATGCTCAATAGCGCGGAAAAATCTTATAGGATTTTGCGGCGATTCCGTAGCACGGCAAGAAATGTCTCTTTCGGATATGTAGAACACGAGAAATAAATCTCGATCACGAAAATCTAGGATACTAAAAATCTTATAGGATTTTGCGGCGATTCCGTAGCACGGCAAGAAATGTCTCTTTCGGATATGTAGAACACGAGAAATAAATCTCGATCACGAAAATCTAGGATACTACACGGAAAGAATTATATCTTAAAATTTACCCTAAAAATATGATAATTGTGGGACAACATTATATTTCGAAGAATTTTTATGTAAATCTCTCACATTCATTAATAAAACTACAATAAAATATAAAATAAGTATGATTAATTTTACTGAAGTGCATGGTAAAAATCTTTAAATTTATTGTATTGTACCATAATTACTGTATTTTCAGGGTAAATTTTAAGAAATCCTTCTCTCCGTGTATAACACTTTTTCCTGTTAAACATTTCTATCGTGCCAATTATAATTATAAATCAATGTTTTAATGGAAAGGTAGACATAAGCGCATCTCCTAAGAAACTAATATATTTTACATCATCAATCATTTGCAAATGTAATAATTATGTACAAAGTCTTATAAGAAAAAATTAAAAATTTATTACTTTTTTAACCTTGATTTTTGCGATGTTGAAGGATAATTAGTAAGTTACAAAAATTATTAGAAAGTTATTGAACACAAAACTTATTAAAAGATGATTTTTGTATTTTAAAATTCAAAATTATAAGATTAAATATAATAAAATCATAATACTAAAATATTCAGCATTGATCATTACATATAATTATAACAGGTTAAAGTAATTAAATATTTTCATTATTATAGATTATTTAAAGTCTTTTTTTTATCCAAGCAAATCTTTCTCGGTACTCGATAAAAAGACGATTTATCCTAATCGTATTTTACAATAATCTATAAATGCGTAATTTATACATAACATCATAATTGCATTCGGAACACATCGTGTGTTTGCATCAACTTTGAGAGAAAATATTGTAACCTGTTAAAAAATTGAAATGAGTTATTAAGTAAATTATTTCACGTTTTATTATGAATTCGTAAATCATTAATTTTGAAATTCAAATTGATGCATGTACTACTTTATTATGTGGCTAAAAATCTCACAAGTCTGCATCGAACACACGTGTTCGGTGGCGATAATCTCTAAACGTGGCTTTCGCGGAGCTGCACTTTTTTCCGCAGTCTCGACTGCAACCGTAATTAGCGCGCGCGGTTGACAATTAAAGCTTTAATTAAAATATCAAAACATCTATCAAGAATAACACTCTGACATTTGCGGCATTTCTTCTAGATGTACATACTTATTATTCGTATTTAAAAACGATGTTCTAACATTGAAACTTCAAACTATATTGTCATAATTAGTTATTACTGTCGAAACATCCTATTTCATAATTTTATATATTATAACATCACTGAATTTTAATTCCTCTTCAAATCTGCGTCAGATGTCAAGCTAAAATTTATTTATAAGTTTATACGCGCGTCATACATTTTGATGTATATTGTATATTTTGATATATTTTGATATACATATATGTGCAATTTAATATATATATTTTGCATGTACTCTAGAAATCTAACACTGATCAATACTGAAAAACAGTAATTAATTACTTATTTTAAATATTAAAAATATTATTGTTCAGTATTTTTAGTAATCTACATAAATAATTAATTACTGTGTTTTAATAATAAATTGACCAATATTAAACTACGTATTGCACATTTATAAAAATCTATAATTATAAATAAAAAAAGTCTTTTCTGTATTAGGTTTCTGTTAGAAAAGATAAAAAACTAAACATTCTAATGAGAACAAATATTTATTTACTCTAAGTAAATAAATATTTACTTATTAATAAAAATTATTGTTAAATCAAAATAATTATTTTTGTACTAAATAAATGTATCTTCATATTTATTAAATATTATATTTTGTTGGTATTACTCAAACAAATGATTTATTAAAATTTAGTATTTTTTCAGAGTGTAAGAGTATTCCGATTCTCCATATGCAATTATAAAAATTTGAAATTAAAATGAAAGCCTTTCCTGTGAATATTTATCGCTCAAACGTAACATAAAAATTACGTGTAATTAAATCGTTGTATTCATTATAGGAACGTTCTACGTACGTCGAAAAAATAAATTACAGCAAAAGGCTGTGGCGCAGGTTTCTCGATCGTCGCGGATTTATCAACCAGTTGTTAACGAGCCTGATTCGAGCAGTCTGGTGTAAATCTTACGTAACGTAGATAGGGAAAATATATGATGAACAAGCTATTAAGCGTGCCCTGCCGACGTCGGCAACGCGACCGGCTCTAAAGCGGACTATACACACCGCTCGATATTATGTAATGCGTGTCACGAACAATATCACGCTGATGATAATGTCTGTTTGCAGTGCATATATAAACTCAAGTACATTGAAATTATAATAATTACGCGATTACGATTGTCAGCGGATTATCGACGCACAGCGCCGCCCATTTCGGTTCAATCCAGGGGATCAATTTGTGTGTTTCTTGAAATGAGATAAAAATTACAAAAGTGGACGAATTTTTTTAAAATAACTAAACACTGAGGATGATCTAATAATAAAGGTCGAAACATTTGTGTTTGAATTATACATTTGAATAGTGATAGAATGATTTTTCGCGAAAAAAAATCAATATTAGCTTTTATGCTTCTTTTATCTAATAACTTGATTTATTTATAAAAATTTTTATAATTTGAATTAACAAATTTACTAGATGTAAACCAATGGCTACGTTCAGCAGAAAAAGCAACTTTACACAACTATCTTAAGATTCTTAAAAATGATTACTTTATACATTTAGGTTCAGTGAGGAAGATCAGTCATGTTAAGAATTTTACAACAAAAGCTGATTTTTCTGTTGAATGCAGTCGATGAAATCACGATGATAAGACCAAGTGAACCAGTTTCAAAGATGCGCAGTCGTTTAAAGCAACGATGATATTTGCGTAAGTTGTGATTGCATTTTTGTGAGTTTTACTTTACTTCACAAAATTCACAATCAACCTCCAAATAAAAAACCGTCAGACAAAATTGACCGTCACATCTTCGCGGTTCAGTTTTCTACGGAAATGTCCGGGTCAACAAGGCGCGACAAAGCTCTTCGTCTTTCGGTTTTTAATCGCTCTCGCGCAGGTGCACCTATTCATCGTCGCGAACCAGAAATAGCGCACAACTAAAGATAAGACGTATGTATATTTCTTGTCACGCTTTTAATATGTGACCTTCTAGTTTTTCGTTTGTTAAATACGCAAATCATGCTTAATGTTGCGACTGTTAACAGTTGAAAGGGAAAAATAATATTATATCAAGGACTCGAGATAAAAGCGATGTTTTTTCGATCTCCCGGAAGAGAAGACAATCGAATCGTCGGAAAAAAAAAGCACAGCAACGATAAAGCATCCGCGAATAAATGAATTGTATAGAAAGCTCGATGTAGGCGATGTTCCAAAATTCACTGTCAGTGCTGAATATATTTAGGTGCACTATAGATTTTCACACGTTGAAAAAAATTACCTAAACATAAGTAATACTTTCTTGAATAGTACTAAGAGTTAACATTTTCTTATTGCAAATAAGTATTTATTAAACATAAATATATATTATTTGATCCAGGTACTATTTCCTTTTTTTTTTTTTAATAAATATTTATTTGCAGTAAGAAATGTTTATTTGATACTATTCAAGATAATAATATTAGAAATGTTACTTAAAAAATTCTTTTCAGCGCAGAATTGGAAAAATTGTAAGTTATTTATCAGTTAGATATATATATATTTTTTAAGTCATCTTGTATGTATTTAATATAGAAATTGAGAAAATTTGGTTTTTTAAATATTTTTTTATTTGCTCAAATTTTGTATTACTTTATGCACTCAATTTCTACAACAAATATCTATATATGAGGTAATTTAAAAAGAAACTTAAAAGTAGTGTGTTCTCCAGCCCAATCCTAAATTTTTTAGATACTAGGAAATGAATTTTGGAACAAAGCCATAATAAATAATATTTAAGTCTCGATTAAACAATTATTTCTCGTAAGTAACTGGAGCTCAAGCATGCATATTTTTTTCCATTTCATCTAATCGATCTGACGTGAATCAAAGAATAAACTTGAAGAAGTTAATGGATAAAAATATAGCTTATCGATTATATCGTGTACAGATTCGTACTCGATAAATTATATATGTATAACTTATCGCAACATATTATGTCAAATCCAATTCACCATCGAGTTATTTAATAATATTAAATTTAATAATATAATAATTTGACAAGCGCCACAAAGATCCTGTCCACCGAATGTTCAAAATTCCGTTACGCTTCCGAATCTGAGCAAATTAATAAGTATTAATCAATAATTTATAAAGAATTAAGGACAATATTAATTAATGACAAGCAGTATATTTTCCTTAGAGATTCGTGTAAGACCGTCTATTATTTATACATTAACAAATAGCATCATTTGTTTTATACGTATATCACAGAGAGAACAAACGTCTCAAACAGTGGAAATTACCAAATCCTAAATTACACATTACTTCCCAAAAAGAAGCCGATCTGAATTTCGATACGAAAGAGTGGCGAAGTAGTGTGTTATTTAAATTTGTCCTCTAAAAAACACAACACACACGATTATTCTACAGTTACAAAATTACCATACTACGACAATTTAGAAGGACGCTCGTGTCCTTTCGAAGTTTTTTCACATTTCAGGAAACAAAAGCGAACGTTCAGGGAGGCTGGGGGAGGCGAACGTTTCTCGCGGGGGAGAGATACAACCGCGGCGAATCTCGCGCTCACCTTCATGGACATGTTGAATCGCACTGCCGTATGTATTCCGATCAATTATTCGTTCAGTCACTCTCCGGTCCTGCCGACGTGCATCGCACCGTCACGTCGCCGTCGAGCGAGAGCGTTCGCGCCGCGCACAATCACCGTCGTCGATCCATCCAGCGCGGAGCGCGCTTCGCTACTGAACGCGAGCCACTAAACGCGGCCGGTTTTGAAGCACCGCGCTCTCGCCAGGGTGTTCCGCCCGTACGATACGTACGTACGCGCGCGACGGCCGATCGGCGTCGTCATATCGTCGAGAGCCGGTCGGACGAATCGCGCGTAGGACATACCACACAGCACGTAATCGCGAACAATTGCGAATAGACGGGGCGCGCGGCCGTCGACGACGGATCGCCGCGAGAGCACCGGACGAGTGCAGGGTGGTGAGGTGAGGTGGAGAGAGAGGGGGGGGGGACTGCGACAGAACGAGAATAGAGGGGGGGGGGGGACTGCGACAGAACGGGAAGTGCACGGACACGAACTCCAGGATCTCCTCCGTCTCACCTCGCGCATGCGCGGTGTAGACGTTTTTTTTTTGTTTTTTTTTTAGTCGAAATCGGCGAAAATGTTTGCGGCGAACGATATAGATTTGTCCGCATTGCTCTGAAATTCCGAAACAGTTTTGTAACGAGATTAAATGGATATTTGAGGGTTGAAAAGCACAGAAAACGGAGGTTCTGAGCAAAAAGTGTCATAATAGACATATATAATAATAATATGTAAGTATCAACTTAAATTTTAAATTTAATCACGGATTGAAATTACAAAATATGAGATAATTGATTTAGTAACTTTCGAAATATTGTGAGAATATGGGTTATATATTTATTAATATATCAAAATAAAGTCCGTGTCGTTCGTGTGTTCCTCGATCCCTCTTCCCAAACGTAATTACGATGCGTATCAATTAATTTCACATTAAAATAAAAATTGTATAACATAAAATTAATAAAACTATGTAGTAATAAATATTTATTACCAGTTTGTTCAAATACAAAAAGTTGCAACATACAGTTTGTTTCCATTCGACGCACGCCGCAAAGTTCCATTTCATCATTCCATGTTCCGTCGTTCCGTATTGTTCCATATCCAGTCATTCCAGTTCTCCATCTTTCATTTCGCAGCCTTCTTGCTTCTCGAGTAATCGACGTTCCGATTGTAAGTACGACAAGTATTTACGAAGAAATTAACATTGGCTTAAAAATGTTTTGCCTGCCCAAATAAAACGCTAATCTTCCGTTTTACTGTGTTGTTGTAGTAGCTGTAAAGAAAAATGGAGAACGATTTGGGAAATCTGGTCGACTTGTACATCCCTCGAAAATGGTAAGACGCAAGCACACGTGGTTTAATGATAATTCTTGCAAACTTTACACCGAACGCGAGCGAAAGTCTCATGTCTAAATGTTCAATTATATTCGTGTTACGCAGATTTCTATATTCAGGAAGATAGACTGTAACGCGTACGATAAATAAACAGCGGTTTGTAAGTGAGGTTAGGTAATTCCACACAAATCTGTGGATCTGTTCTTCGTAACTAAACTGTGTATGCTCGTTATACTTCAAGGCCCAATTTGTCATTTTCTAATTAACTTGTGGTTAGATTTAATTTGATAATAATGTAAACATTTGTATTATTCTAGTGATTAATGAACTGAACTGATGGTTTTGTGTAATAACTTAAAGTTAACACACTATCAGTTTATTAAAGTATCAATTTAGTGATTAATCTAATAGTTAGAAACACTAATTTTTATATCATCAAATTAAGTGATGTCTGTATAACACGTTAACTGGAAAATGAAAAATCAGGCCATAATATTTTTGAAGTTTAATGAAGACAAAATAATTTTAATGCAGTGGAATGATGAAGATCAGGATCTCTATTCTTATAAAAAGTATTGCATAAGTAAAACTAGGGAAATATATTATACTATAGTGTTTCATTATTTTTTCATATGTTTCTTTTCAAGAATAGAAATCCAGCCTTTGTAAATCTGTTTCAGTGAAAAGATCAATTTCTTTCAACTGTCTGATTTTTGTAATCACATTTGAAAGAATATATTTGTAGAAGAATTACAGGAAGATTTTTTAGAAAGAATGGATTTAAATCCTGTAATTTCTCTCTGTATTGTAGCTCGGCGAGTAATCGTATCATCCATGCCAAAGATCATGCATCTATACAGCTGACTCTGGCCGATGTTGACCCAGAAACAGGTCGTATGACCGATACTCACAAGATGTATGCAATCTGTGGAGCAATTCGTCGAATGGTATGTTTAAATTACTTATGTATACATATATATATATATAGATTTGTATAATTTATATAATTAATTCTTTGGTACATTTTAAATGCAAAATTATTATACTATTTAATTGACATAATATTTCTATAATAAATAACATTGTTAAAATTGTAATATAAATTAACCTCATGAAGTTTTTCCTAATTTTATGTTCACAGGGAGAATCTGATGATTGCATCGTAAGATTGACAAAGAACGATGGACTATTATCTAAGAACTTTTAATCTAAGTTATATGACAAATTTATTTTCAATAAATTAAAAAATGTAAAACAGGTTTAATTATTTTTTTAACTTGCCATAATTCTATTTATATTCATAGTTTTATATTAATGTACTCATTATATAGAATACAATAATATAATGTAAAGGACATAAAAGTCAAAGAACAAAATAATTAAACCGCATCTTACATATTATAATTATTTTAATAAAAAAGTTGTCATAGTATAAAATATATTTATACTTTAACAACTTAATTTATATTTTATATTTTTACAATTTTTTTATTAAATTAATTATAATGTGTAAGATGCGGTTTAATTATTTTGTTCTTTGATTATTATATGCCCTTTACATTATATTACTATATTTAATATTAAGAGTCCTTTGCTTTTCGTATATCAAATCTTAATTTTATTATCTGAAGATGGCCTAATCAAAAGGCCAAGACATGTAATTCTGTATTTTACGTATTTATTTAATTAATATATTTTATGTCTTAACTTCAATATACATTTTAAATGCTTAACTGAATTATGTGCCCTTTTCAACTTTATTGTTAATCATTTTATTGTGCGACAGACGAAAAAGATAAATAAACCGTTTATTACAGGAAACATCGATCTTATTTTGATAATATTAATTGAATTAATAAATAACCATATTTTTAAAATGCATTGCCTTTATTAATAAACATATGTAGCGCATATTGATTTGCGTTACACGGTAGTATACAACTAATATATTCTGGATTATTTATTACATTTAATATCGAAAATGTTAAATGTATTTCCATTTAATATCGTAATAGTAATCGTAGAGAAGAATAAAAAATACTTAATCAATAGTCTAAATATAAAGTCTAAAAATCTTTCTTTGCTTTCTCAGCATAAAATTTGGATTATCAAAATTTCGGTAAGGCAACTTTAATACTTATTTTTATCAATAATACTGGAGCATGTTCTTCATTTTCCGATTATTGATAAAAATATTTTAAAACAGCACATTAATTTCGAAAAAATATTAAAAATAATGTTATAAAAATTTTTAGACGTCTTATGTGTGATACATATTATGTCTGTTAAATCAATATCGATATATATATATCTACGTCAATCTCTTAAGAAAAGAATATATTTTTTTTAATGTATAAATTTGTAAAAAATTATATAATTCGTTCTCTTTTATTTACTTAAACTTTTTTACTATTATTTTAACATAAAATAATAGTAAATTAAAATAATAGTAAAATATTATAATAGCTAAAATATTTTTGTACGGATTAATTTAGAATTATACTAATAAAATTTTATATATATTGAAAGTTGGTCAGTAGATATAAATTCCCGAATTTCAGCGTTTTTTCTATTAGACTATTAGAGTATTCCTTGATAAATTTTTTTTAAATTTCCGTGATTCTATTTATCTTTTATTGACCACATTATACTTATAATTGCTGCAATATTGGGAACCAATATATAGCTAATATTAAAGATAATCAGATGAAACTTTTATCTTCAATGTTGGATCAATTATATTGGGGATTCAGTTTTTACTCAATATTTAAATGACTATATATATTGTTTTCGCCAATGTAAGAAATAAGACTTCAGGTATACCTATCATGGAACAAAGTGAGAATGGATTCCGATCGGAATCCATTCCAATTTTGTTAGGTATCCTGGACTATGGGTCCTGGCCAGTATTCATAGTCAGTTCTTATATTCGAGTTCTGTCTTAAGCTCACTTTTGAGGTCTTAACAAACCAATTAGAAGGCCGCATTAGCGTCTTAAGACATTACTTAAGACGGTCTTGAAATAATCGACTATGAATATTGGTCTATGAGTCTCCTGCGTTATGTGCTACACCATTTCTTTGATTGATAAATGTGTTACTTATAATTAATGTGTTATTGAGTTGTACATTCATGTTATAAACATTAGCCAATCCAGCCCCATTATTATTTGTATATGTCCAATGTCGTGTAGTGATTTATATGCAACATTAGAATTTCCTCTGTAACCAATAATAGCAATGTATTCGAAAATATTGATCCATATAAAGCCAATATTATATAATTAAATATTGACTGTACATTGGTATTTATACTGTAAAAAATAAAATGTTAATTTTAACATTTTTGCATGTCTCAGAAAATCCATTGAATGTCTTTGAGTTAAAATTAATATTTTATTTTTTACAGTGTATTATATTTTATAATCAATATTGGCATTGCATTGGGAAATATGGATCAATGTATTCCTATAATGTATGGATCAATGTATTCCTAACGATACATTAATGTTATATAAAACAAATATTTTTAGTACAAACCTCCATTGGACATTCTGAGAATATCCATATATTCTTTAAACATCTTATAAGGACATCTTCAGGTTGTTCTCCGGATAAAATGTGCTATTGAAGGGTAGATAATATTTAATCCGTACGATTTTGATATTATGATCGCTTAGAGAGTTGTTTAAAATTTTTTTTTTTTGATAAATCCTTGCAACCGAATAGTCATACCGTAATCCGTAATCTATAATGCTGTGTTTAAACATTCGGTTTAATCACAATATTCAGTTATAAATCTGTAAAACATTATAAATATAGGTGTTATAAACATATATATGTATAGTACCTCGGTGAAATTAATTTTGAAAAATATTTTAATCACACCTATTAAATATGAAGAATTCCTGTTTTATCACACATATTTTATTCGATTAACTATTATTTTTTTAGGGCTCCCGAAAATATATGTAAGTT